TCCTGATACATAAAACCATAGAACTCAAAGAGGGTGTACTTTCTTTTTCACATGACTGTATTCTCTAGTATAAAAATAGCAGGTGGCTACAGGTCACCTCTTCAGGTTGAAGCACTCGTAGCCACTATGAAAAAGAAGACAGTCTGTAGGGACAGTGGGAGTTGTCTCTAGATACAGCAGTGTCTATTGTCTGTTCCTGTCCCAGGGAAGGGAATAGAAATTGTTGCAGTCAGGGGGTCCTATTGAAACAAGAAAGGATCAGTAGTAATTAATACCTGTACAAAAACATTGCCTAAATAAGGGGTGGAGAACCTGTGCACCTCTAATTCTTGCTGAACATTGGCTCCCGCTATTCCTAATCTGATTGTGCTTAGTCTGATGAGATCTGAAGTTCAATAGCCTCTGGATCAATGATTCTCCATCCTTGGTAGACAGCAGCTCCAATTCAAGGGGGATAGGTAGAATGCAGCTTTGGTATATGTCTCGGTGTATGTCCATATTAAACTAACAACAGAAAAAAATACAATATAATGTTACAATAATAACAGAAATTATTAAGAAGAGAAAGCAGCAGCAGCTTGGAAAATAATATAATAAATAGAACAGCTCAAAAGTTGTGTTCTTTGTAAAAACAAAAGCCCCAACACAAATGTTGGGAAATAGCATAAACAGGTACTGACACAGTATTAATGCAGAACAGGTGTAGATTTCTTCTTTCGACATTTAAAACTTTTAAAGTCCACAGTTCTTATGTCTTGACAAATTCCAAATACTGGGAATATAGCCAAGAAGGAGAAAAGTGTATTTACATACAATGATTAATGTGTCTCAACAGTTCTGTGAATTTCATCCCAAAATGTGGCAATAGAAGTGTATATATTCATATAGAAGACTATACTGTATGACTTAATGTTTAAACTCCTGAACTGCAAGTCCAACAGCGAGGCAGTTGCAGCTAACCATATTCAACATTCTGAGCATTAAACATGACCTTAACTTCAGGTTAAGGTCCAGGGACACTAATTTCATATTCTTTAAAACACACCTTATGGTTTATTAGAACAAGACATTCAAGCTCACAATTTCTGAGATGTTACAAATGATTAATTTCATCCAGTTTCTTATAAATAACTTTCCATAATGCTGATTCCTCCAAACTTTCACCCATTTTGCAACTTCAGAAGCAGCAGTAGCATTGGGACCAAATGGACCAAATAACAAGTGCTTGAGCTAAATAAACTGACAAGTAGTCAATAAATCAAATCAAGCTCTTTTTTTAATTCTGCAAACTTTTAAAAACAGCTTATTCAAGACTGAATTGATCCAAATAATATTTTAAGAAACTTGGTTTACACAAACATTAATTTATCAACTAATTAGTTATTCCATCATGCCGCAATAATAGCAGCTTTATTTCACACCCATAACAATGTATATTTCAAGTTAAACAAATTACACTATCTCATGCAAAATAAAGTGCAATATACAATTAAAATTACATTATTCTTCATAATTTGGGAAAACTGAACTAAGTACCTGTTATTTCCTTTTTAAAAAATCATTTTTACTGAAAAATTTAATAATAATAATAAAAAAATGCAAACTATACTCAGAAAGAAAAAGAATAAAGCAAGAGAGAGTGCAAAGAAAATAAAAAAGAGGAAGAAATAGGATAAGGAAAAAATAAATATTTAAAAAGTGATTTCCAATCTTCATCACAAGTACAAACAAACTTAGTAATTCTTCACCCCCTATAAGGTTACATGCAAATATCTCTTTTTCTCATTACCCATCCCTTATTGATATGCAAATCCATAAGGACTTGTTATTTCCCATACTTAATATTGACATAAAACTTTTCATAGGTAAAAGGGTCAAAATTATATCTGCAACACAATATTTTCCATAGATAGATAGAGGCATTGTATGGGTATTGAAACTGATTCTGCATGAAACAGGATCATAATAGTTGACAGGATTTTAGTTAAGTCAAAAAACAGCTGTCAAGTTGAGCCCAAGGAGAAGATGAATGCTGATACTCCTTATCCCAGATAATACCCAAAGCTAAAATAAAAGTCAAATAATACGGCTGAAATTTTGGCATAATAAAACCACTTGTAATTTGCATGATTGCAAATTTCCTTTAAAATATTCAATATCATTTATTCAGCATAAATATCTGGTTTAAAACGTACCATACCACTTGTACATTTAAGCCTTTGCCCCTCACCTTTGTATGTATGCTTTTAATATTTCCAGAATTACTAATAACACAGACAAAAGACTGTAAACTCATATTAAAAAGAAAATGAGAAAGAGGGCATATTTGATCTGTACCACTTCATAAATTTTTCTAATTTACAGGTCTAATAAATCATTTTAATCCAAACTACAGAGCTTTGGAGAAGCTGCAGATAAATCAAAATCTATCACAAAAAATCTCCCTCCCTCTCTCCTTCCTTTCTCTCTCTCTCAGTATCCAAAATCTGTCCATTTTGAGTTAGAGGAAAAACACCAGAACTATCAGAGGTTTGATAGTCTGGTATAAATCCAGTCAAAGCTGCACGCATAATAGTTGGAAAAATAAGCTGCAATCTATAGGTCAAATTGCTGTTAAAATCTTAGTATCCACATTTATCAAGAAAATATGTCTATAATTAGAACACATAGTATATACTTTCCTACTTGGGAATAACTGTATTATTTGCCTCATTACAAGGATAGGAATTTATTTGAAAAAGCTTTACTATATGCCTCCAATAAAATAAAAGATATAAACCCATATATTTTATATCAGTCAATTGGAAAACAATCAAGGCCACTGCCAGGAGCCTTTCCTGGTTTCATAGATTTAATTGTAGTGACAATTTCTTGAAGTAAAAGAGGTAAAGTAAAATTAATGACCTAGCTCTATAATAACTGTTGTAATCTCACATTGTGTGTGCTTTTTAAAAGAAACCTATTTTATCATTTGTTGATGAATTGGACCTAAACAATTTATAATTTTTAGAAGTGTTGATTGATCTAGAATCTGTATACACTTTCCCATGTGAATAGATGCTACAATACTACATTGCTTAATTTCTGTCCAAAGGCCATTAGCTTATAGATTTTTCTCCTTTCCCAATATTGTTGCCTGGTGCAATGTAATAAAAAATCTGTTTTAGAAGCATAAAGCTTGTTAGATTCCCATTTAGCAGACACCAAAGATTTACATTACTCAGGGGTTGAATGAGGTCCATAAAGAATGAATAATTCTTTAACTTTCTCCTGTGGGGATTTAACCTTAACTAATTGTTGCTCAATTTTGTAAGAACCATATGCAATAATTCAACTCAAATAAATGCTTTGGCAATGTCCCATATCAGAGACAGTGATGTAATCTAGTCCCTGTTACTATGGGAAAAAAATATATCATTTTCTGTTCCATCTGCTCAATTAAACCTTTATGCTTTAGCAAAATACACTTAAGGTCCACTTAAAAGATCTGTGTAATTTATTGTCAAATAAGGCTATAAATTTCACAAAAGCATAATCTGAAATTGTACACCCTGTCTTAACTTTAGATACCAAGGAATGAGAAATCAGGAAAAGGGCTGAGAACATCATCTGCTTA